CTAATCGTGACGTCACCCCATTGAAAGTGAATGGGCAGAAGCGTTGAAGCGGCACGCCGCCGTGTGTAGGGGCCGTAATAGTGCTAGCGGGCTTCAGCCGCGCCGTGTGTAAATGTGACCTGAGCGAAGGCTCGCAGGCAGGTTAGCTGCTGCGCACGGGTAATATGTTTTGTTTACCTGAGTGCAGTCTTGCAGGCACATCGCCTTGTCTTTTTTTTAGTTTATCAACACTGACAGTGTATTAATGTGAGCTCCTACACCTATAATAGTTTGTCCTTTCATTGAATGCTTTATAAACCAGTTAAACTTACAGATGTCATTGTGAATTGGAAAACTGCATTTAAATGTTGTTAAAGGTCAACGTTTCAATGTATGGTTCAGCAATTGTTGGTCGTTTAGGAATTGACATTTTAAGCTCAAATACTTTGTTCTATGTTTAAACCTTCAGACACATTTTGACGTGTTTCAGTTCAGCACATCATTTATTTTGTGATGATTTAAAAGTGCAATCCAGAATAATATACGTACTCGCCTTTACCTTTTTGCCATCTCAAATTATTGAAAAGTATCGATAAGAGTATCGAAAAATACCGATACCGATAAGCAGTACCGGTACCGGTATCGATAAAATCCTAACGATACCCATCTCTAGTCAGGTCGGTTGCAGTCAGAGTCAAAACGAGCATTGGCTTTAATATGCATCCTGTTCTGTTGGTGTCACGTATAAAACACATTGCAAAAGTAACGTATAAGAAATAGAAGCGGTGCCACGATGGGTCAACTAACCAGAAAGTATTTTGAGATGGAGACTACCCGCTGTTCATCATATTAAAGGGAAGATTTGGGGTTTGGATGACATGTAAAGGCATTATCTTGGATTTTGAGGAACTAGGAAGGGCTATTTCCCGTTTGATCTTGAAACTAATCGCCATGTGGTTTGGTTTACAGTCAGAGTAGAAACGAGCCTCCTTTGAGGACTGACGTGCTGTAAATGGAGAATAAGGTGTAATCAATGCGAGCGGCTTTAATATGCATCTTCCTGCTTTGATGAGCTATTATCGAGCGCGACATGTTTCCCTGCATCACTGCACTACCGTGAACCTGTGAGTTCTGGAAAAATGCAATTAGCTCAGCGCTGCCACTCAGTCTTTTTACACGGGGCAATCATCCAAACACCATAATCATGTAATCACCGGCATGTCAGCGTGTCCTTATCCATCACAACGCCCGGCCAATGGCTCTGTTGTCGTGTCGATTCGTCATGTGATCATTTAGATATTATGTCTTTTACTCTGATTGCCTATCACTCTGTTCAGTTGGGGTTTTTGTCCCTTTTTGTTGTGCTTTTGAAGAGGCTTTCCAGAAGGGTCAAAAGGTGGATCTGGAAATGGTTAAAGACTGGAGGGTTTCATGGTTGAATGGGAATGTCGAGATGATGTTTAAGATGTTTATACGATGGGATGGTTCGAGGTGTTGGTGGTCAGCCGTCCTCCAATTTGAGATCCATTTCAACTGTATTTGAACTTCTTATGAATGTGTTTGTGTCGCCTTGTTAGCTCGCTCAGCTTATCTCACATTGAACCTTGTATTTTCATAATTAGAGGTGCCCTTGTTTGGACTAAAGTGATATATTTATACAGAAAAATGCAAAGTCCTGGTAGTTTGAGAGCAGAAAACGATGCACCTGTTTGATTCAAGATCAACAGGAAACACTTGTTTGAATTACCGGTTCAAAATCAACTGAATGATTGAATATAATTGGAAAACTGGCGCTGCGCTGCTCTGCATGTATTATGACTTTAAAGGTCCCTATTATACTGTTTTTCATCAGGTCTCAGATATATCCAGAGCCTGTCTCTGATTGGCTGAAACACCAAACAGATCATTGCAGCATTACCCATAATCCCCTCTGCTTCAGCCCTGTTTCCAAAGTGCTGATTCTCCCCACGCCCCTCTGAGAGAGATTTGGTTACAAAGAACTCAATGGAGCTCTAGAGGAGATTCAGGGGATAAGGGGGGG